TATGGGGCCCAACGTGATGCCCAAGGTGGTCTCTCCCCCAGCCACCCATGCGACGAGAAAGACTTCTCCTTCCCTCGTAATATCTCGGCCGGCTCGCTTGGCTCGCTGTTGGGTCACCACCACAGCGCCAACCACGTCGGAGAAGGCCCCGAGCCCACCGTCACCGACCCGCTCATCAGCCCCGTCGGAGAACACGAGACGCGGGTGGACATGGAGAAGGAGGTAAGGCGGTGACCCGCTGACCCGGCGGAGTAACATCTTCTACGCTACAAAGAAGGGTGGAAAAAAGACATCCGTCCGGGTGAAAGAGCAGCTGGTTCTTGCTTAAGGACGGGTTGCGAGGCCGGCCGAAGAAGGCCTCGGAGGGGGTCTGTCCCTCGAAATGGACCGGGACCCTCTCCGCCCCACCCCAAGGTCACTTTGGGAGGCTTCGTTCCGGTTTTTGGGGCCCTTGATTGCATAAAGGGAGCGGGTTGGACTAGATGACCTCGCAGCTCCCGTCCGAACTGTGCTGTTATCAAAGGGGGTTTTAACCGGTAGAGGATTAGGTTTAGGGGAAGGGGAGGGGCTTGGGTGTCAGGGAGGGGCATCGGGGGGTTGGCCCCGCCCCCTCTGGCATGCCACCCGGACTCCGGCGCCCATCCTCCCCTCCCGTAGAGCCTGCCGAAGGAAGTGGCCTCGCCTGTCCTCTCCGGCGCCATCACGCGCTCCAAGTCGAAACATGAGCTGAAGCTCTTGGAGAAGATCCCGGATAACGCCGAAGCTACCGTGGTGCTTGTCGGTAAGCGAGTCGGGGCTCTGCGGCGGGTACTTACGGCGGCGGGGCGGGAGGCGTGGTCAGGCCTTGACGGACAGCCTCCGCTGTCCCGTGTCCGCAGGTTGCGTCCAGTTCCTCGACCAGCCGACCATGGCCTTCGTGCGGTTGAAGGAGGCGGCCCAGTTGGATGCGGTCTTGGAGGTGCCGGTGCCGGTCCGCTTCCTGTTCGTGCTGTTGGGCCCGAGCAGCGCCAACATGGACTACCACGAGATCGGACGCTCCATCTCCACCCTGATGTCCGACAAGGTAGGGTTGGGCGGGGCAGGGGCGGGATATGGCGCTGGGCTGCTTCCAAGAGGGGGCGTAGGGTGATTTGCCATGGACAACTCAACATGGCCAACTCAACATGGCCAACTCAATATGGCCAACTCCCCATAGCCAACTCCCATGGTGAATTCTCTATGGCCAGCTCTCCATGGTCTACTCTCTAGGGCAACTGACCATGGCCAACTCTACATGGCTAACTCTCTGTGGCTCCCTCTCCATGGCCAGCTCTCCTTGGCCAACTCA